TTCATCTTCATCCCATCTCACCTGCACCAACGTGACGTCACTCCACAGAACGGTGCCCTGTCCTCCGCGCCCTACCTGACCCAGCTGGTGACGTCACTGATGTCTGGGGTGGCGGGCGACAAGTTGAGGCAGCGACGTGTCATGTCCACTACAGCCGTGAGGAAAACTTTCCAGCTCGCCGGTGAGCGACCCGTTATTTGACCGAATACTACAGGGGGAAACGACTGTAGTCACGTACTGAAAATCGTGAGTATACCAATTTTGAACGCTTGTTGACTCATAACTGTATTTCTGTTCAACTGTTGGTTGATTATTGTTGTTCGATTTCCCATTCAACAACACTTAACAATAAACCACCAGTCAAACAAATAGGAAGTTATGAGTCCACAAGCTTTCAAATTTGGTACCCTCACTATTTCCAGGTTAGGACTACTGTCGTTTTTCTCCCGTAGTCTTCATATTGTTTTCCGCGAGTAGGAAATTTTTAGCGAAGATTGTTGTCTGAGAGATCCTACTGCTCATGAAGCCGACATACAGACAATTTTAAAGACATACAACATCTTTGGTAAATAGCTGTCACGACTGAAGATTAACATAATATTATTCAATGTAACACAAGGCGTGCCAGTACAGGATTTCTACCCTCCACAGCAGAGCCCAAGAAAGCTGTGGATATTAGAAATCCTTTCATTACATCTTTAACACTTTCATGACCGAAAATTAACGTCCTTACTGTAACAGAAAGTCTAGTCTATAATAAAAGGATTTCTCCTCAAAGTCTATATTGAAAGGACCCCCTTTCCCCCCTCCCCTCCCCAGCATTCTGGGGCTCCGCTGTGTGCATCGTGCTAGCTGGCCAGATGACGTGTGATCAGAGGTACTGGGCAGTGGTGTTGCTCTGTCTGTGTGTGGGATTCATGGGCCTGACTATCTCTGGCTTCACTGTGAACCATTTGGACCTGGCGCCGGCGTAAGTGAACTGTCTCTGTGGCCGGTAGTAATCATCATCATCATCATCATCATCATCATCATCATCATCATCATCATCATCATCATCATCATCATCATCATCATCATCATATAGCATTTGTATAGCGCAAATCCCCGCTCAACGGCAAGCTCTACGCACTTCACAATCTGTAACTGGGGACAATACTTAAGGCTGGCTCTGCTTTGTGTTCTATCCAGGTTTACATGATTTGAGAAACTTGTCACGTGATCAACAAAGAAACACCAAAGGGTGTTTGGATTAAAAATAAGCGAATGTGGAGGAAGGTTTCCTAAACCAGACAGTTTTGTTTTGTTCAAGTTCAGGTTTTACGGCGCTCGCAACTTCATAAGCCAGCCACCATTCCTGGTAAAGGTAAAACACTATTCATATCCCCCAGCCTTCCTGGGTCCCAGCCTTCCTGGGTAGCTCTGGTTCGTGTGGCCTGGTTCTGTATAATCATTTTTTCTCCAACTAATACAAAAGAAAACATAAATTAATCTGAGCCTGACACCGTGCTCTGTTTCTCCAAGGTTCGAGAAGAGCGAGGGATATGTCGACTGTTTTGAAGATACCATTTTGTATGGAATTCATTATAATATATTATAACTTACACTTTCTGTTTCTGAATTTACATGTATATGAATGTTGTGTGTCAGGTCAAAAATTGAGTTTTTACAGTCATAATTTGTCATTTTGGGAACAATTCTGAAACAGTACTTAGCTCATTCCATCTTCGACCACTCCCTTCTTTCTCCCTTCCCCTCCCTCCTTTCTACCCTCCTCCCTCCTCTTTCCCCACCCTCCTTTCTCCACCCCTCCCTCCTTCCCTCCCCTCCACCCCCCCGTGACCAGCTACGCCGGTATCCTGTTCGGCATCACCAACACTATGGGCACCGTGCCTGGGATGATCGCGCCACTCGTGGCTGGAGCTATGACGCCCAACGTAAGTGTCTTCATCACGCTTCAACTGAAATACTGAAATACTGTCAGTTAATAGGTCAATCTTAGTTTTCTCATTCCCCCCCCCCTCTTTTGAAATCTCAGCTGTGACGTCTATCACACTGGTGGGTGGGGGGTGGGGGTGGGGAGTTAAATTAATGAGTAGAACGGAAGTATAGACCATTTTTTTAATGGGCACTGATGACACAACACCTGGTGCAGCAAAGCGTGAAGGATAATAATTAGGAAGGTGACAGAGACAACAGCTCACCCAAAAGCAAATTGTTACTTCTCTATCGATACAGCAAGAATAATGTTAAAAGGAAGAATCTAAATGTTGCGACGTTGTTTGTCGCCCAGGGAACAGAAAGAGTGATTTGGAATAAACAAGCAGTTCGCAACTTTGTATGGTCAAAAATGTTATTTTCTTTCTAATTTGTCCGTACTGTTTTCCTGTCAGTTCGTTGCCCTGTGCTCTGAATACCTTTGGAACACCGTGTTCATACTACACAACGTCCTTTATAATATACAACGTCCTTTATTAAAATAATATGGAGAGCGATATACATCAACAAGAACACGTTCCTTCCTGTGTTTTCTGCTCAACTGCAACAGAGGATGAAAAGATGAACGTAAAAGTATCATTAAAATATTGATTTGCAGCGATAAAGTTGGAAGTTTGTGTCTTTGTACGGTTTTGATTATACTCGTTTCTCTCAGCCCAATGCCATGCCCCTCTCTTCTACCCACTCAACGTTCGTTATGTCTAGCAAGACTACAATCCTTCTCGTGTTTTCAGAGAAGCGCTGAGGAGTGGCGATCTGTGTTCTACGTGTGTGGGGCGGTGGCGGGAGTTGGCGGGATTATCTACGTCATCCTGGCAGACGGGGAGCTGCAGGAGTGGGCGGTACCGCCAGACGTCAGTGGGAACATGGAGATGACGTTTCCAGCAGACGAGAAGGAGGACGATAGCTTGATGGAGAAATCCGAGAGCTACATTCAAGATGGCGGTGAATGTGATGTCGTCATAAAAAGTGGAAACGAGAAATGACGAAGTGCACCACTCAATGTAATATTTAGTGGTTTAGCTTTCATAAGAGGTTTACCGCTCTTGCAACACAAAAAGGTCATAATATAAGTGCCGAAGAGTAGAAGCGTTACATGAAAGTAACAAACACGAAAAGGAGGGAGATAAGGACGAACGATGATAATAATAGAACGGCTGGTGTGATGCTATGACTCTTTAATTGATGCAATCACATGACTTTCGATGCTAAAGCACAGATTTCGGTGATAAGCATGATTCGCTATCTTAGAATTGCAAAGTTCTTTCTTACATTTTTGGCCATTTTGAGTTACTAAGACAATGATGTCAGAAAACAAATAAATTATGGTCTATCTGCTCTATTAAAATCGTATGACTATTCCGGAGTCGTCATCAATATTATTTTTTGAAGACTTGCATTCGAAAAAAAGCTTGAAATGTTGTAAAACTAAAAAAGAAGAAAGTAATTTAACGTCAAATTTCTATTTCTCAAAACTAGGTACTGATCTGATAGAACTTTGTAATTCTAGGGTAAAAAAAGTAAAGTTGTTCCCGCATCCGATCCAGACTTTGGGGATTGCCTTGTTAGTGAGACAACTTCCTGGGCCTTCGGCATATTGTGTATTGTGGTAGGGTCGCCAGTTCCTTTCCACGCCACCTTTATTTCCCCAACTCGAAGTTAGCTACCCATTCCTGCTGGGTGGGCAGGAGGGGGCGAAAAAAATCGGCGCCCGAAAAATTCAAGGGTAGCGATGTATTATTGTCAAGTGCGTGGTCATGTCGTCACTCTTCTCCTTGTACGTCTGCTGTATATATGGGTCATGGGGAAAGCGTAAATCGCCATCTGTGGTCAAAGATCGTACATAACAAGATAGTTCACCCAGCCAAAAATATGTCTGCTGAAATCCTTGCATTGGTTCAGATGGCACTACAGTCTACGTGGACATGGATTGCTGGTGCCTCTATAAATAAATTATCGATCGTCAAGGTTTTGGAGCTCTCTTTCGTTTCTCCGGAAGAAGAATATGAATAGCACAGTTTGTCAGTTTCACTTTAATTGTTTTTCACACAAGTAGGGTAACTCTGTTCGCAAAGTCCGCACTTTTCTGAAGAAGGCGCCACCGAACTTTGAGGACACTTTTTTGATTGGCTCAAAGAGAGGAGTGAACTACATGTATCTTGTTATGTACGATCTTTGATTGGTTCGAAGAGATGAATGAACTATCTCGTTATGTACGATCTTTGCGCTGGTGTAGCAGTTTGGTTCTTCGCCGTTGCCCTCACAGGAGATGGGTTCTATTCCTGTGCATGTGGAGGTTTTCGTATGAAGAATCTCGGTCTTTCTGCTGGAATGTTGTGTCCCTCTTAGCTTGGGTGGGACCTGACAGGCAAGGTCGATGCGTGTCTTCTGAATGTTCTGGATTGTATATTATCAGGGATGTAATAAACAAAACCCCCCTTAAATCTACATCTTAATTTTAATTAATAGTGGCAATGTGTGGGCACTGATCTTGCAAGGGGAAGCAACTGTGAAAACTATATTTCTGTTTTACATTGTGTCCCATGTTAAAGTCTGCTCTGTTCCCAGTGAGGACCTGATGGTTTCACGTTAAGATCAATTGTCTACGGGCTTTTGCCTCTTGTATTTCTTCATCTTTATGTGTCAGGTTTATTCGTAATTATCTGTTTCCATGCTTGAAATACACGATTTTGTAATTTAAACATTAAAATCTGAATTAGATAATGCTGTTGGTGTTAATGAGACCTATCACTATTGCGATACCAAGACCTGCAAGCTTAGGTAAAATAAACTTGCTCCCACTCCCCATTCGGAACTGACTGGACTCCGAAAGTCCCGATTCAGTTCAAAATTATGGATTTTAAGTTGTAGGCATATTTAGCTTTTTCAGCCTCAATTACAACTATTACAACTATTTCAGCGAATAAGAACCCCATAAAGATGTATTTCTTCCAATACCGGGCATGTTTGTCATCACCATTTCCTCATAAAGTCAATCTTTTACAATGTATTTTTCTTTATCGCCCGTTTTCTCGAAACGTGGTTTCTCTACATACTTCGTTTTGAACAACCCAACCTTTATTCATCCAATCTTCATAACATTTTTACAGAATGAAGAGAACATTTTTTTATTAAAAAAATTTGTGGGATGAATTATTTGATATAAGCTGAAGGAATTGTTTTTTGTTGGATGTATCTGGAGTGTTGATTTTTACGGTTTGTTTGCAAAAGTGAATACTATCTTAGGAAAAATTCATAAAACATTGTCTCGATCTAGTACATTTAGGAAAATTCATCACATACATTTGTAGATCTATTGTTCAGCTAAGATGAATGAAAAAAAAATAAAAAAATGTTTCCATGAAAAATAAGTGCGGAATTAATTACGTAAAATCTTTTATGGCCTCCGTATCCATGGAAACGAAACTTTTATCTCAAATTTGATGGCGGATTTTGAGACTCCTTACTAAGCTTGCTATAATATGTTTGAACTTGAGTGACATTTGATCCACTAATAAGCAAAATAGCCCTCAGGTGTAACCCCCCCCCTTAAGTTCACACTCTCCGCTCTCTGTTGGGCCAAATAAATTGGTCATGTGACTCCATGGGCAAAAGATTCTTTTAAGAATGCAGGGTCTACATCGACCTTTTCCCTGATTTGTACACAATATCTGTCCCCATAGTTTTATGCACCCCGCATAATTTAGCAATATTTGATCATATGTGGCATAATTTCTGATTATTTTCCTTTATCATTCTTTGTTAAAATTAACAGAATCGCATAATTTCACATTTTTGAGCTCAGTTTGCTTAATTTCAGAATTTTTCTTGCATAAAACGACGGGGACAGCAATATTCACGAAGGGAGAAAAACATCTGTCACCTTCAAAGGTTTACCAGTAGACCAGAGGCTGGAATCCTTTGTTTGCATGTGCCACCAACAGACCAAAGTCAGTATAGTAGCCTATTACATTAATCCTAACCATCACACACAACTCATAAACACAAACTTGCAAGTGGCGTCGTTGGCTTAGTGATTAGACTACCACTTCCGTAATCGTGAGATTGTGAGTTCTGGGTTCGAGCCTTAACTCGGTCCTTGGGGGAAAGGCATTTAACACGAATTTCCTACTTGGCACTGGTCCTTTTGGAGATGGCCATTAAACTCTGTGGTCCCGTCTATTTAATACCTTAATAGTGTTGATAGTGGTGTTGAACCTTTTATACCATTTCATTTTACTTACAAGTTTGTATACTACTTCATAGAGGCATGTTATCGTTAAGTTTCAGATGAAAAAAACAAACAGCTGAATATAACGAAATTTTGCTTCTTTTTAAAAAGTGCCCTAAAAGAGCACATCCTAAAACGTTGTTGAAAAACCAAAAGGCACGTTCCCAATGAGGTAAAGTCACTCACGTCACCTGCGCTATTTGCCTTTGTTTAGAAAGGCCTACAGCTGAGCGCCTGCATGAAAGAGAAAGGTAATCAGAGTGTTTTGACTTTAATGTGAAAACAAATCTGCAACATAGTGGTAAATGTAAGCCCCTGTTCATTTTCTATTACAAAAGAAAATCGTTGCTTCATGTTATGCTACAAAGTAGTGTGGATTTTGCACATGAGTTTGATGTCTGTACATACCATGTACTAAGACAGGTTGACCCAAATGGTGCGAAAAGGTGTGAGCATTTGACGTGACCTGTTTTGGTACAAAGAGGTGCAGACTTTGGCGCCACATACTTAGTAGCATCAGCACAAGTGTAAATAAGTTCATGTTTGCTTACTCTAGCTGGACTAATTAGATCCACCAACAGTCCAGGCAGCATTGACAGCGTGGTTCAACAACTACAGAGAGGATGAAGGCACCACTTCACACACAATGGATAGACTAAGGGAAGCCGGTGTCTCTAGAGGGTCGGGGAGAGACAATAACCTGCGTGGAAAAGCCAGAAAAATATCCAACCAGCTGATAACTGGCACAATCAGCAGGCAGACCCTTTCATGGATCCTGGAGAGGAGGGAGGAGCAGCTATGGCATTGTGCCGCCTGCCATGACGCCTATTCTTAAATCAAGTAACAAAGTAAAGTGTCTAGCTAGGACTGGACGCCCCGATAAGAAACACTCTTGGGTTGTGTGAGTGATGCTTGAACCCTTGACAGTCTTGACTATCTTGACTCGCTGGCGTGTCCTCTTTCTACTTGCAGCCTCAATGTGGCCCTTGATATTGCAGAAACGGCATGTGGCTAGACTCTCTAGTAGCCTATTGTGAGCAGTAAAGAAAACCCAAGTCCACATCTCTTAACTTATTTTTTTTTTTTAATTGTCTTTCATAAAAAATAAATGTACCTTTTCTCTCCTTCTCTTCCTCTCAGTCACAGACACAGATGTTGGAGAAAAAGAGAGAAGCTCTAAATGTACTTTGAATAGTTAAAACTGGTTAGTAACAGCAATAAACATCTAACTAATCTCTCTCTCTCTCTCTCTCTCTCTCTCTTTCTCTCTCTCT